GAGCACGCCCCCTCCCCCCCCCCCCCGGCCCCCCGGCGCATCTTCTCCGTGTCGGCCCCGTTGCCATAGAAACCCGCGATCTGGATTTTAAACGGAGATTAGAGGGAGCTGGGAATCGCCAGGAATCGCCGGGAATCGCCAGGAATCGCCGGGAATCGCCCTCTCCCCGCCAGGCACCCGCCGCTGAGCCCCCGCTCCGGGGTCGGGGTCCGACTGCCCCACCCTGGCACCCAGCGATGGGGCTGGGATGGGCCGGGGTCCCCCCAGGGCTGGATCCGGCCCTGCAGCCCCCAGCGCTGGGCCCTGGGGAAGCCAGAGCCACCCCTGGACCACTCTAGCACCACCGCAGCCTCCCCCCGGGTGTGGGGCAGGGCTGTGCCCCCCGGCACCGGGATGGGGTGGGGGACACCGGTGTCACCCGCTCAAGGTCACCCAGGCAGAGCTGAGCACCCCGAGCTGCGCTCCCCTTCCCGCTTTGGACTGGGCACGGGACCCAGGTGTCTGGGCAGCTCCCGCCCCAACGCCCTGGGGAGGGATGCTCTGGTCCTCCCTCGCTCCATCCCTCCCTCCATCCCTCGCTCCATCCCTGCTCCCTCCCCAGCTCGGCCGGGGCGCCGTGCTCTCCAGCCGCCGCTATTTTTAGATCAATCTCCACCATCGATTAAGAAGCTCCACGGCCGGGAGCGGCAGGAGCCCGGCCCCGGCAGCCTGTGGCGGGTGCGGCAGCGCGGGGGGCTGCTCCCTCCAGGCCCGGGGGGGGGATCCCAGGATGGGCATGGTGTCGGAGACCAGAACGGGATTGCAGATGGGAACGGGGTTGGTGCAGCTCATCTCTCAGCATGACAGAGCAAACGCCCCCGGACTGTCCCCCCCAGCCTTGGGGACATGCTGTGCTCAGCATGGGCTTGGGGACCTGGGCAAAGATGCAGGACAAAGCCCTGGGCCAGGCCTGGCACCCATGGGTGGCACCCGGGAGAGCCAGGGCAGTTGGATGCTCTTGGAAGTGATGGGGACAAGGAGATGCAGGACCTGTGGGGACACGGGGGACTGGAGAACATCCATGGGGACAAGGTCCTTTTGGAGGGTGGGGCTGGACAGGCTTGGGGACAGCCCTGCAGGACATGGGGACACCGTGCCGCAGCCTGGCAAGGGGCTGACACGGCCGAGCCCTCCCTCAGCGCGAGCTCCCAACAAGGGGAACCCACATCAGGTCTTGTCCTGCAGGGACACCCCAAAAACGAGGAGCTGTGAACACAGGGAGGGGACATCAGCATCGTCACCTGCTGCCACCGCATGGGGCCGGCTGTCAGGGCCTTGCCGCACTGCCGAGCGCTGCCGAATCAGGGCTCCCAGCTCCTCTGGGTGGGGAAACTGAGGCAGGGTCAGGTAGGGGATTCCCCAGGGCAGGGTTGTGCCCGAGCCCCCCGTAGCCCGGCTGTGATGGGAGGTGGGACATGGGCACCCTTGCTCCTTGCTGCAGCCAAGGTGGGTGCCGGGGGTCCCATGCCCACCGCCCGACAGCCCACCCCGGCTCTCGCCCTCGCTCCTGGGGGGGCCACGCTGCAAATGAGCCGTGCGGCAGCCCCAGATGGTGCGTGGCCGTATTTAGCGACAGCGAGATGCTCGCCGGGGAGGTGGCCCGCGCTCGCCTCCGCACCGCTGGCACGCAGGGGCTCCTCGGCTGGGAGCCACCCAGCTACCGGGGCCCCCCAGCCTGGAGGGGGGGGACACACACAGCTGGGACCCCCGGCTGGAGCCCCCCAACTCCTCATCAGCATCCTCAGGCCCCCGCAGAGCCCCCCACGCCTGGTGCTGATGAAGTCCTTGCTCCTCCCAAGACCCCTCTTGTGCCCTGCAGCCCCTGGGGCTGGGGGGCACGGCGGGGGGGGACGAGGTGGGCAGGGAGAGGGGTCAGGCTGCCGGGGGGGGGCCCCGGCTCCCTGCGGCCAGGGCCGCGGGGGCCCCCCGGCCGGC